ATAATTTCATCGCAAAATTGAGTAAAGAAATGCAACGTTGTAGATCAAAAAAGAGCTGGAAATTTAGCTCAATTAAACAAACAAAATAATTCTACGTCATTATCATAAATTAACGATTTGACAATAGGTTTAATTTCACTACCTCTCTAAGAAAACCTACTAAATAAAAATATTCCAGCGAAATTTTGATCGAATATTAGAGAAATAGGAAATAGAATTCAGACTACTGCATTATTAATTATATTTGTGCATTTATTTTTATCAGTTTTTATAAGCAAAAGTTATTAGTGGTTACTTTATTAAAAAAGGAGTATTAAAAAATAAAATAAATAAAATGCCTTTGGCTATTATTTCAAGTAAATTGTCGCAGCAATTACTATTAAGCTGACGTGAAAGAAGCAGCAATAGCTTATATTACAAATTGATAAATGAATCATTTATACTCTCAACTTTGCAAGAGCTTATGCAAACTGTGTTGCAATTCATAAGGTGCATTAAAAAATAAAATAAATAAAATAGCAGTGGATTAAGGCAAACGAAAGACCGAATGTTCCCATGCTTCCGAGATATTTCCTTAAAAAAGGCTAGAAGTAATTAAAAACGTTTAAAAAGTTAGTTTGAACTTTTCTCTTGATCTCAATCTCCATTTCATCTAACGGATACTGCTTGTCATATGAGATTAAGATTTCAACTACTTATCTTGTGAAGTTTGATTTGGGCTCAATTGATGCAAACAAGTTTTTATTGACATTACAGGTGAAATAAACTGCACTTTAAAAGTGACTCAGATTTTTGAATTTTTGGCAAATAAAAGGGAAAGATTCTTCAAATTGACTCTTTTCTCATTCTGTGGATCATATTTTAGGAAAATATCCCGCAAGTTTGAAAAAGCAGACAATCAGCAAAGCAGCGAATTTTGAATGTGTTCAAAACTGAGCTTCAACAATTCTAGAGTTTTGAATGATCGATTGTTTCAAGAAATCTTAGCAAGCATATTTCAAATTGAATGGATTTCGGTTTGGTCAATTTCAAAGAAATATACGAATATCGATAATTGGTTGGTTGATCAGTACTAGATACTTTAATACTTTCTCAGGGATGAAGTAAACTGATTACATGATTTGGTCAAGATAATAGGTCTTATCATTGCAGTTTGACTCGAATGAGAAAAACAAACGTGATATAAAGTTAGATTGATTGAATGATGAGAAAAAGTATTTGGAAAACAAAAGTAAATAAAGACTTGTCGTTCTTAAAGTATGCGTGAGAAAGAGGGCTGCAGAAATCTTTTTACTCCAATGCATAAATCTTCAGGGATTATTCCATTCTATCTGTTTGCTATATCATTGGTCTTCACGTCGTTATATTGTATTTGCGTTAAAATAAATTACTTTCGTTTTTGAGAATAAGTCTTAGTTAGTTACATTTAAGTACTTACTGAGTAAACTCAGCCAAATATGTTCTGCAACAATGACCTAAGCATTTTGCCCTTTTGAAATGAATGCACACACACTCACATAGGCACATTACACATACAAAATAAGTACATATATTCCATATATGCACACTACACATACAAATCCTGTTTATCCAGCTCTGTCTGATTATATCCATGCAGATACACTCAAGCAAACGAAGATTTACTTGGATATATCCGCTAACGTATGCACTCATACATACAAACACTTGCACATGCACACGCAAACACGCACGCACGCACACATAGGCGCATTTTTACGGATTCAGCTGGGCACAATTTTTTCTCAGCATTTATCTCAATAGACTACAATCGTTAATGTGTACTCTCATAATTCATTTTCAAACATCGCAAAGTTTGCTTGGCTTGCTTACTTTGTGAGGAATAAAAAATGTCAAGCATATTTGCAAGCTTTGTTGATAGCTTTATCAAGCAATCTTCTGACCTTTTTGCTTGTCTGATAAAAAGTTTGTAAGAAATGGGCAGTTTAAATTAAATATGCAAAAAACATTAAAAGCATTGAATTTTTGAAATTCTGCTTTTATCTTTCATCAATAAAGTTTCTTTTACGCTTCGTTTGATGGTAATTATTACTTGAAACTTAATCGAAATTGGAAAACAATATATGAAAAAGCATGAGGATCTCACAGATAGTTATAGTAGTCAGAATAAAAATTATAACAGGCTGCAGTAATAATATGATAAAGAAACAGCTGGGAAACGATATAAATTGAAAATTTACCTGTTCTTTTCAGTGGTAATTTAACAATCTCTTCCACGTCAGCAGTCACTTCTTCCTCAGTCTTAAAACATTAATTTGATTTTAATTAATTAATTGGCAAAATTCTGCTTTGCAAAATTATGGCAATCAGACGATACTGTTTTTTGACTAAACAAAAAATGCTTTTTTTTGAATTGTAGAGAGGGAGAATTTGACAAGAAGGAAATTGGGATTTTGCTTCCAACAATATTTTAATTAAGTAATCTTAAGTGAAGTTCACAAAATTACTAATAGAGCGTAAAACATATCAGTTTTGCTTGAAAAAAGAGATCTATTTAAATTCCATGATTTATGAAAGGATTATTAAAATTCTAAAATTTTTTCAGATTTTCCGAAATTGGGATTTAGCTTCCAACAATATTTTAACTAATTAATTTGAAATAGAGTGTTGTTTAAGGTATGGAATATTTGAAATTTGTTGTGATAATAAAGAATTGTAAACTAGTGAGTATATTTAACAATTTAAAATTAAGTCTAATTTTTTTGAATTTTTTGGCAGTGCAAAATAATTTTTATTCACTTTACTTTGTTGCGTGCTTAATTTCCGTGAAATGCAATAAGGTATAAAAAACACTCACATGATTCCCTTTAAAATCGAAAGAGATTGGCTCGCTTGTAAACAAAAACGAATCACACGTGTACGTATCACTGCATAATGAAGCCGTCATCTTATCATTTTCTTAATTTGTGAAAAGATTTTAAAACTTGTCAGAAATGACTTATAACAGCAAAATTCAGCAGGAAATGACTTATAACAGCAAAATTCACGAAGCAAAAATCATATATATTTTTACAATATTATCACACTTTTTGCAGCACTTTGGAATAAAAAATTACTTCCAAAAAATAGAGTTTGAATATAAATTCGAATAATTAAAAGGACTGCGACAGAAAGATTAAAAATTGGTTTTTACAATAATATTATTAAATATAATAATTATATTTATTACACATATTATTTAACTGAAAATATTAATTCAACTCTTAAATGAAGAAGAATTATTTGCTTTTGTTCTCACGAAAACTCTTTATTTATAGGCTAAGTTAAATTTACCTGTTGAGGTAACCATCAAACCTGAAGAACCATCAGATCGCATATCTTCTTTATCTGCTGAGGCTAGCAGCAAGCTTAACTTATCATTACATGGCGCGTCTTTTACTGATGTACTATTCATTTCATGTTGATTTCGAGATGGCTCAAAATTAGCCTCCTAAAAACAAAACTTGTAATAGTCTAGTTTTTACGCGCAAACTTCTAAATTAGTTCTAGTTAAAACTTAAAAATGGTTCATTAAATTTTTTAGAAGCAAACGCTACTCAAAAATTTTTTGAACTTTTTATTGTAAAAATACTCAAGTAAAAAGTTTAACTATATGAACTAATCTCTGATCAAACTTTGCTGCTGCTTCATAAATTCAATCTATAGCTATCGTTTCTCATAAATAATTTACCTTGTTGAGTTCAGCGATACCACGTATAACATCAGTGAACTCATCATTATTAAGTGAAAGTTCATCATCATCATCATCTCCTTCGACTTCGCTATACGAAAGATATTTCTCACCACCAGAAAATTCAGTATCTTTGAAACAATTATTGAACTTATCACACAAAAGAAGGATTTTATCAGAGTCACAAAGTAATAATCAAGCATACAATTTATGCTTGATTATTACTTTGTGACATGTGCCATTTGAAAACTTTTATCACTTACTAGACTTGACATTGTTGCTCACATCAGTGCTTTCAACTTTTTGGTCTTTGACATATCTGTTATAAAGTTGTTCAAATTTCTGCTCGATATTATCAACGGATTTCGAATCTTCCTTCAAAAAATTTGAAAGTTTAAGACTCGTTTTTGAACAAGCTTGCAGAAAATAATAAAAATCTTAAAGAATTTTCAAGCTGTCACTATCTGCTCAAACTAAGAATTCAAAAATTTGATGAGTGTAAATTATCTCAAAGAAGTTTTGTTTATAAAAAAACGGTATTTGATTTTTGCTTTCTAAACATCAAATTTACAAATCAAAATTCAATGCCACCAAAGAAATAATAAGAAATAATTTATACTTTATCACTTGGATGACGTGACATGGATTTGTAATCTCGATCTGGTATCGAAATTCTTTCTCGACTTCTACTGTAACTGGGTGTTTGAGAACGGTCACGCCATGATGAAGTTGAATAAGACGGTGTATAGCTTGAATTCGCATAACGGCTTGGAGTATTTCTGCAATCAAAAATTAGCTTTTGATTTTCCAATTATCTAAAAATCAAAGTTAGCCAAAAAACGAGTTGTTTTTTGCTTTTTTCATTTGTTTCAGTTATTTATTTAAAGTACTGCATATGAGATATACTATGAATCTCATATATGAAGATATACAGTACAATGAATTATTAAGTGAAACAAATGATGGCAAAAAATTCATGTTTTTTGTAACTTTTATTTTCAAAAAGTTTTACTTATCTAAGTAGTTAAGAGTAAATTATAGCTAAAAAGCAATTTCGTTCCTTAAAAAAAGGAAAATTGCTTTCAGGCAATAATTAGTCTTTAATTACTTAGCTCATGATTTACTAGAAACAGCCAGATACACTGGTGCACAAACAAATTTTGAGCCTAAATTACAGAAGAAATAAACTTTTATTTTTTTTAGTTCCCAAAGTATTTACTGTAATGAATAGCATGTATAAAGTGGACATACTCTTGTACTATTTAGTTTGTACATATTGTTTGTATTATGTTAGTGTTTATTCAATTCTTTTAATGCTGATTGTAACCAATGGCAAGATGTTTATGTAAATACGTGTTACTTTGAGCATCAAATTTTTGATCTTTTTTAATTCAAATAATTGAGTTGATAATTTTAAGTTCAAAGTATCAGCGTGATGCCTTTATATCCAATATTAAAATATTTAATCTTCAAAAAAATGTGGTAAACCGATCAGTACATAGAAAGTATAAACTTACGATGAACGTCTTTCATAAGCAGGAATATCGTATCGCCGTAACGATGACGTTCCAGTATCATTCAGATATAAAGCTGAAAGTTTTTAAATAACTTTTTGTTTCTATTTAGTGCTTTTTATAAAATCTGTTAGAAAGTACGTAATCACTTAGTGATCGAATTTTAAAACATTTAATTTTTACCAAATTTTCTTTTTTGTTTCATTTTTAATTAAATAGCCTTCTTTCTTACATGCGCTCTATGCATGTATTTAGCAGTATTAGTCACTTGCTTAGATTGAACGGATCTCATGTAAGTCTTTTTGCTAAATGGTACAATTATGAACGTTTGATTTCTTTATCGCTTAGGAAAATTTTAGAATTTTAGAATTCCCAGCTTTAAAAAATATTTTCATTACCATCTACTTAATAATCATAAAGCAATAAAGGTATTAAACATATGTGCTGTAGTCTAATATAAATTTTGTGTTATCACAAAGCTTTTACCATATTTGATCCAAAAATTGTAAATTTCGTTAATGTACGTTGGAAAAAATTTTACTTAAAATTTCAGTAAAATAGCTTTTATCAGTCTTACACGTACCAAACTTAAATTGTAACTATTATTACGTGATATTATTCGTGGACTTAATGCATGTCATCATGTCACTTGTTTAGATGCAAATCAAAAACTTTGTTCGATTTCTAAATTGTGAGCATAAGTTGTAAATTTTTATGTACTACTCGTATTTATATAAATTAAAAAAGTTTTATGCAAAAACTCGCAAAATTTGCAGTATTATCGGAAAGAAAGTGATCTGAATTGATCTAATATCTACTTCACCTGAACCATAGCTCGCAGTGCGTTTGGAGCCAAAGGTACTCGGTGAGATGGATGTTCGAAGAGTTGTTGATGTTGCCAGACGATCAATACTTCCGTATCTAAAAACAAAAACAATAAGCGCAAGTTCAAATGTCAGTTTGTACTTGATCAATTTTTCTGAAACATAAAATTAATATTAAAATTTTTACTGCATCCAAATTTTTGTGGATCAGCCAAAATGGTCATGTGAAAACAATAATTTTATTTTTAAGGCCTCACTCATTTGAATTTAATTAATCAATTTTTTCTACTTTATAAGCCACAAATTATAACATATCAAATGGAATTATCAGAGATCACTTATAAATTATCATTTTCTCAATAATATTACTGAGTTAACTGATAAAAATTTGATAAGTTAGCAGTATTTTATTTTTTGGATATATGTGACAAATTAAAGTGTTCATAACCTCTTTGACAATCCGATATTATTCCTTGGATATGATATGTCTTGATGATAACTGGATGATAGTGAGGTAGGATAAATTTGTCGATAGGAGCTCATGAGTGGAAATGTAGAATACGAGGACGTGGACCCCAAAGAATGAGGACTTGTGGCACTGTAATGTGAACAGCGTCCCGATGATGAATTTGAATGGTTCTGAGAACTGTACTGAAAGTCATAAAAATGATGAAAAAAATTTAATTATTTATGATTGAAGTTAAAACTATGCACTTTTTTGGAGATTAATAACGAAATTTCCTTAAATTTTCATGATAAATTGCCCTTAAAAAACTCATATATATATATATAATCCAATAACTCGAATTAAGTCTTTGAACCTAAATTAAAAACTCGAACATTACAATACAATATTGTTGGGAATAAACAAACTTAAATTCTGACTTATAAAATAATAAAGTAATGAGATTTCTTTTAATGTTTTGCTTGCATTGTTGTTCAAATAATATTCGGTCAAATTGCTAATTACAAAAAATTATTTAAAAGAATAGTCAAATACTGGTTTATAAAAAGCGCATCACTATTTCTTTAATTTAAGTTCATCGTTCGAAAATTCATGACCGTTAATTTCTAGACAATGTGCTAGTTACAAGTATGCATTCAAATAACAAAACTGTTAAAACAAAACAAGTTTTCAGAGTAATTCTCACTTTATAAACTGTCAAACAAATGAGAAAACTTTAAGAAGCTTTGCTGAAATCCGAGTTCAAATGTATTTGGAATTTAACTTTCATTATGATGTTTACACTACTCTTTCAGAAAGCAAGAAAATATTTTCTTTAAAACTTGTTTTGATTTGGTAGAAAAATGAATTAAACTCAGAATAAGTAAGTCAATTTCAGTTAAAGTGTTATGAGTAAATGAAGTTATCTCAGATATTTTTGAAAAACTTGTCAACAGTGACTGCCTTGAAGCAAACCGTTCCATAGACGAATCACGTTTAAGGAAGTTACTGCTAATAATTAGCCAAGAATACTGTTTTAAGTGAACAGTACAAAAAAAAATAATCATAATTTAAACTTCGTAACAAGCCATTGCAACGGTAAATATAAACTATAAATCATTCATAGTAATATTGAGAGTGTAAAAACTGAGTTATTAAGCTTAATATTTCTGCTATAATATTGCTCTCAACAGCTGATGAACAGATGATCACTGCAAATATTTTTAATAACAGAAATATTTTTAAACTAAATGAGCAGATAAAAGTAAATACACAAAAATTTTTTTTAAGTAATTTTCTTCTTAAATGAATAAATGCATTTGTTAAAGGAGTGGTAATTTTGTACAGAAAATAATACAGAAAATTGGCGAAGAAGTGTGAATCAGTTTATAATATTTTCATCAGCAAATAAAAGTTATTACTCAGTTTTCCACAAAGATATTACTGTTTAACTTTCGTTAGATTTATTGCATTACTTTCCAGAGTTACTTTTAAATTATTAGTTTATAAAACAATTCAATGACCGATAGCTCAGTTTTTGTCAGTGAAAAGAATTTATAAAATGTTTAACAACTCAAAATATTATTTTAAAATTCTTTTAATTTTTGTTATAAAATTTCTTATACTTCTAGTTTCTTAAAATTTTTCATTGTATTTCGAAAAATACTTTGTTTCAGAAAGTGTAAATTGTGCTTAATAACTATCGCTTTGAACATTCAAAAAGCACTTAACTTCATTGATCAAACTAAATTCCTCAAGCTTTTCATCAGAAATTTTCAAAAATTAAATTTCCAAGCAAATTTTATGAATAAACTTTCGTGCTTGCCTAAAATCTTAAGAGTTTACAGAATTTCCAGAAATTAATTTAAATTTCATTAACTTCCAAGTTTTGACGGATATTTTTCTTGAAAGTACGTTGAAAAAGAAAAAGAAAACGAAAAAGAAAGTTGGAAACGAAAGTAGCGACCACTTTATAAAATAGTTAGAAATAGAAATAGAAATAAATACTTGCAAAACCACCGCAGCCCCGAACCTGCTCAACACTTGGTTTTATATTTTTATGTTTTTGTGAACAAAGCACCACTAAGATTTATAGAGATTCTTTGCAGGATCAATTAAAAGCATGAAATATTTGAAAAAAACGCTGCTTAGAGTACCAACAAAGTATTTATCAAAACTTGAAGTTAATGAAAATGAAATTAATTTCTAAAAATTTTGTAAACTCTTAAGATTTTAAGTAAGCACAAAAGTTTATTCATAAAATTTGCTTGGAAATTTCAATGTTGGAAATTGAGCAAAAGTTAGCAATAAAAATAACAATAATTTTAAAGTTGTGATAAATAAATATCGATGAGTATTGATTATTGACAAAATTTTTAGTTCAATTTTATCATTCAGCATGTGAAATATTATCACCTCAAGCTAATCAAATCAAAGTTAAATCTGCCAACAGATCTAACACTAGCTGCAATTTTTATAATTGTTAAAAAATATTATTGAAATGATTTGAAAACGAAATTTATTCTTAAAAAATTGTTTTTTGGTTAAACTTTTAATTAATTTTCAGTTCAATTTCTTTCATTGAACCATTTTCAAATTTTTTATTAAAAGTTATCAAAGAAGTTTAATTATTTTAAAAATTTGCTGGAAAAGTGAAAAAATAATTTCAACGCCTTATTATGGCTCGTGAATTCAATTTTCAAATTTTTGTAACTATAAATCTGTAAGAAAGCTTATCTTTTTTAACTAGACAAGCAGCTTTGTAAATATTAGGTTAATTTATCAGGTCAAATAATAAAAATTTTCTTAACAAAATGCATATTTAATTACGACCATTAATCTGCGTTGACTGGAATAAGTTGCTGACATGCTGAAATTTGGTTCCCGCCGATTATATGTTTGGTACAACTGAAATTGATTACATTTTGAATTAAGCAATCAAAGAATACCAGAAGGAATGCAAATAATTGTACGTTTGAATCTTTATCAAATATTGAACGTTGAAAATATGAATAGACCAACTTAAAAAAATATTCACATTGCATATTTTACCATAATGTCTACAAATTTCACCACCAAATGTTCAAATAATATTTTACAAAATCAATGTTGCTGATAGGTGATAACAGCAGTGATAACAATCATGTCAATGTAATTCTTTTGTGATTTATGCATTTATTAATTTGGTTTTATTAGAATAAAAAAGTTTTTCTCAAGAAATGTCAATTGAATGTTTCTGAAACATTGTGGAATAAATTTGTAAATATCAGCAATTACTTAATTTTTTGATAAAATTCAGTGGTAAATGGTAGAGTGTGAAGTGAATTACAATGTAAGCAATGAAAAGGAATAAATTTTTAGGGCAAAAAATAGGAAATTATGCAAAGTTAGCAGTCAATAAAAAGGGGAAATTGTAAAGTAAATTAGTGATTTTTACGCTTTTCCTTGCAGCTTTTTGCAACCAAAAATCAGTGCTGAACTTAAAATCGTTAAAATGTTCTGAAACCAAGTGATTAGTTTGAGAAAAAAACTTGTAAATACTAAAAAATCACATATTATGAATATTTGCTAAGATTAAAAGTGTATAAAATTTATAAGACAGGTGCTGATACTAGGCGGAAATGGAAAAAAAATGTCTTTAAGTCTAAAAAGATACGTTGCGTATTGTTTCCGGTAGGAAAAGCATATAATTTCTAAACTTATTTGCAGTAAAAAGCAATATGCAAATAAACCATATTATTTACTGCTTTTTCAAACATCTACTATTGTATTATTTCAAGAATGCGAAAATTTATAGACTGGGATTCTGGAGAAAAAATCTCATATGAAAAAAATTAAACTCAAAAATTTCCTACGAAAATAATGAAATACTTTGAGGAATAGTCTAGGTGCGTTAAAAATAACCATAGTAGTTAAGTTTAATTTTGAATCAATAAAAATCTCTGTCAAAATTATGTCTGAAACTTCAATTCAATCAGTTTTTCAACATCGATTCAAAAAATTTCGGTTCCATTTAACAATGAAGTATGTCATTACATCTGGTTCACCGATTTCGTTTCCATTGAATAAATGGAATAGAAAAATATCACAGTTTAGATCTCATTTTTGCAACGATACAGAATGATATTTTTGTTGCACACGAAGTAATTTTAAAAGTATTTTACTAGTAGTAACAAGTATGCATTTTTTTCATTCATACGATTAATAAATGTGATCAATATGCCCTGATTTTACAAATAACCGAGATAATGAGAAAGATTTGATTTGTAGTCAAAAAGTAAGACATTGAAGTCTTTCAGCTATTTTTTGTAAAAAATATCTTTTCATTCATTTATTATTATTTGAAAGTAAGAACAGATATAATCAATTCACTTAAATACTTTCATCAAATGAAAGGTTTCAGGAAAAATCAAATGATTTGTTAATTTTGTCAGATTTAATTTTGCATTTATAACTTGTCTGGTAATTAAAAATTTTTGTCAATCAATGTCATATCCAGAAAAGGATTCACAATTATTTTGTCTAACTGAAAATTCAAGATTGACGTTGCAAAGAAAACTTGTCTATTTCGATTATTACTTTTACAAATAAAAAAATAACCGAGCTATTATTTTACAAAATAATATACCGGTTATATTTCTATTTATTTCATTTCACAGAATGCAGTATCGCGAATAATTTTTTTCAGAAGCTCTGAAATACATAATATTTTTGGCTCAACAATTTTGGATAATTCCATATTTAAGAATTAATCAAAGTTCAGCTTTTGAAGAATGAAAACATTTCTTGAAATGCTTAGAAAAGCTTAAGAAGAAAATTGTCGCTTTCCGGTAAGTGTTTAGAGGCAATAAAAGTGTTCTCATAAAGTAAAGACCTTTTAATGGACATGTCAATGGTACAATTGCTTTTAGATTCAGCAGCCAAAATTTTTCTTTCATGAAAAAAAGCACTAAAAATTTCTGAAGAAAGTGCTTAAACTTGCATACAATTTTTGCTTATTTTCTAACGTTACTTATCTATGCAAATTGTTAAAAACCTAAAAAACTCTAGTGGAATCTATGCTAAGTATGCTTTTCTATTCAATTTTAGCAATAATAATTGTTGCGTCCATCTAAAGAATCTCAAAAGTCAGCCTTTGATATTATTTTTGATATCAAAAAGCTATCACTGTGATTTGAATTTGACTTCTTCAAAGTATTTCGACTTATCTTTTTTGCATTGCGCTTTCAATAATTACTTGCTTTACAATTCTCATAAAGACCTTTAGATTTGAGAGCTGTGATAAAAATTGATTTCAGTCTATTTTTAATGCTCATTTGTTTCAAGCTTATTCATTACTTGATTTAATTTACAGTTTAGACCACAAAAATTTTTAGCTGCTCAAAAGTTAAACTACAAATAGAATGGGACGATTTGGGGTAAATCATTTTTATCTTGCTTTTTATTTAAAATTTTATTTCACTCTATTAGTGGTTTGTTAAACTTATTAAAGACGAAAACTTTTTCAGTTTGGCTTTTATATTTTACAGATTTGGTCGAATGTTATCACCTTAAATGCACTAAATGTAATAATTTAAGCGCGAGGTGATATCAATTCACGTGGGACAGGCAGGTGTGCAAATTGGAAATGCCTGCTGGGAATTATATTGTTTAGAACATGGAATTCAACCAAATGGGATGATGTTGGATGAGCAAATGGTGGATTCGGAAGACGATTCTTATATCACATTTTTTGCTGAAACTATTCGTGGTATTATTATTTACAGCAAAATAATTTTACATTATTTTTGCATTAACAGTGTATCAAATAATCTCAAAATACTTTCGATTCCTTCATACCATATCCATAATTCAATAAGACGACTTCAAAAATAAGAGCATATTTCTCAATTATCGTTTGCACATAAAAATGAAAGTAAGTTATCGTTAAGGGAACTCAAAAATTAAAAACATATCTACGTTTCAGTATTCACAGAATGAAATAATTTTTTAACAATCTTAAATAATTATTTTTCCCCAGTTTCTTCTTGCAAATACATTATTAAACTAAAAAAAATACATTAATGCATTAGAAAAAAGTATTAATGCATTAAGGAAAGATGTTAAATTTTGAAAAAAAAAACAGAACAATTCCAGGTAAACATGTCCCGCGAGCAATTTTTATCGACTTGGAGCCAACTGTAGTAGGTATATTTTTTAAAAGATTGTCACATTAATTACTATAAGCAAAATATAATTGTAAAAATTTACACAAACAATAGCAACTAAAATTAATTAAACTTGACTTTCTGAAATTTTTTGTGATCTTAATGACTGAATCGGTTTTGTGGGCAAGAACAGAATTACTTGAATTCAGGACTAATAAGTTGAATTGCATGTAGGTGGTCTATGTATGATCTGCTTATAATAAAATGATATCTTTGCTTTAAAAAATGTTTTATGTGCACAACAGTTAGAAGTGAGTGAGTTAAGCTCAGTCAAAAAATAATACACGTAAAAAGTAAGAGGTCCTACTTGGAAGGCATGTTAAATCAGAAGTAAATTAAAACAACCAATTTGCTTTGATTTAAGATAAAAAAGAGTTCAATGTTTAGATGAAGTTCGAAGTGGAACTTATAAAAGACTTTTCCATCCAGAACAGTTGATCACTGGTAAAGAAGATGCAGCCAACAATTACGCCCGCGGTCATTACACCATTGGAAAAGAATTAATTGATGTTTGCATGGATCGAATTAGACGTAATTTTTTATTTTGATTTCACATTCGACAAGCAGAACATATTACTAAGCAGCAGTTTATTGCTGCGACTAGATGATTTGTTGGCTGCCAAATTTTTTAAGTCAAAAAAAGCAACTGAAATTTTGACTACGAATAGTGTTTTCATTGTTTGCTGATTCTGACTCTTTTATGCAATCTTTCCAAAGATGCTATATCTTTGATCTATTATTATTATTAATGTATCAAAATTTTGCCACCGTCACATTTAAAACATAATATCTTTATCTTAAAATATGACTATAATCGATCTAATAGTTAAACAGTTTTATCGTCTTTATTAAAATTTTGATTTATAAAGAATCAGATCACAATTTTAGAGTAAGTATGAATTAATTTAGGAATGAGTGATACGTGCAGTGGTCTCCAAGGTTTTTTAATTTTCCATTCATTTGGTGGTGGTACTGGAAGTGGTTTTTCGGCATTGCTTATGGAACGTCTTTCGATTGACTATGGCAAAAAATCAAAACTAGAATTTAGCATCTATCCAGGTGTTGTACTAATTACATGAATATGAGAAGTCGAAAACTATTCTCAACAAAATTTTCATCTTAATGAAATCGAACTATGCATCTTGGTTTTACAATTTTGTTTTTTGCCCTGTATAATGCAGAAGTCATGAAATCAAATGGTCAAACAAGTGCTTATTAGTTTTACAGCACCAAGAATTAGTACAGCTGTTGTGGAGCCTTACAATTCAATTTTAACCACTCACACGACTTTGGAACATTCCGATTGTTCATTTATGGTTGACAATGAAGCAATCTATGAAATATGTCGTAAAAACCTTTCTATAACGAGGTAACTGCTGCATTATTCTGATGAATCCTTTACAATTGGAAAATCATATCAAAAAAAATTTAGAGAAACTTACGTGCTTTCTATTATGCTTGCCTACTATCTACGCTAACAGCTAAAAAAACAAATTCATCTTCCGTTTGTACAAAAGGATTAACAATGTAATCGCACTTCATTTGCTAACTAGTCAGAAAATATTTGTATAATCCGTCACAAAATACAAATAATATGCATACATATTAAATTACAAGCTTATGTTTGCAGTTACCAATTTTTTTGATTATAAAAAGGTTTAAATGAGTTTTAAAATGCAAAATATTACGAGCAGAAAATTATTTATGACGCTGTGTAGGCTTCAAAACTCGATACTGTGTCCAAAATGCCTGTATTTAGATTTATTGCTTCTTTCTCAGAAAATGTCGAGAAGTTCATTTTAGTGAAAAGATATCAAAATTAATATAGTAATATCATGTGAATAAAATATATCTTTCGAATCTCAAAATGCTCACTATAACTTACTCACTGGTGATAGAAAATTGTGAAGTATGAATTTAAGTCAACGAAAGGATTGAAACAATAGTTGCTGGAAATAGTAAATTAGAAATACCAAAGAGTAGATGCTTCTCTTTAAAACTCTATATATTTGTTATATCTGTTATCTGCAGTCATCATCAAGAAGAATGTCCTGCAATATTAAGATGAAACGTTTAACATAATTTATACTTTCATCATGATAAATTTCTTCACAATTTTAATTGGAGCTTATTCGCAGCAATTTCAGACCGACTTATACAAATTTGAATCGTTTAATAGCACAAATTGTTTCTTCAATTACGGCTTCATTACGCTTTGATGGCGCTTTAAACGTGGATTTGACTGAATTTCAAACAAATTTAGTACCTTATCCAAGAATTCATTTCCCACTTGCTACTTATGCTCCAATTATTTCCAAGTAATCCTGATTTAACAAATTCAACAAATTTCTTTTTCACATTTAAGTTTTTTGTTTAGACAAAGGAACTGAAGTGAATACTTTTATCAGCTCCTCAGTAAATATACAAAATAAGACAAATATTAAAAGATCATTTTATGAGAAAAATTTTCAAGCTTAATTAAATATTCACATAAAATCACATTTGATGCAAATAAATGGACCACAAAAGTAATTAAAGGACTTTTATTTGTGAATTTTAAACATTTTCAACTCGATTAAAATTCCAGCGAACGTGCATTTCATGAGCAATCAACAGTATCCGAAATCACAAATCAATGTTTTGAACCTGGAAATCAAATGGTGAAATGTGATCCAAGGCAAGGGAAATTTATGGCATGCTGCTTACTTTTCAGAGGTGATGTGGTACCCAAAGTAAGTCATTTTAGTCACAGTATGAAATCATAGGTTTTTATTATACTGAAAAATATCAGCTTTTCATTACACGAATCTCACAAAAATGATGCCTTACTTTAGATTTCTTTTAAAGTATTCCGAAATTCTATATAGACGATCCAAAAAATGCATACCATGTGATTTTGTTTTTGATTATAAAAATGAATGGTTGTGCATAACGAATAGATATTATTCACTGATTAGATCAAGACAAAACGACAGTGAAATTTATTATCCTATTGTTTTAAAGGATGTAAATGCGGCCATTGCAATGATCAAGACAAAACGTTCTATTCAATTTGTCGATTGGTATATTTTTGTACCAATTTTACAAACTTTAAACTTATGAAAGATCGTTCAGTAAATCTAATATAAATTAGCCATATTTTTCTAGGATCCAATAAAATGTTAAGCTTTAATAAATAATTTGAACATTTGGAAAGCACACATAATGACGTAAAAATGTAAAAATCTGTCTTTTTTTCTGTTTGTGTGATGATTATGTCTTCAGGTGTCCAACAGGTTTCAAAGTAGGCATAAACTACCAACCACCTACAGTGGTACCTGGTGGAGATTTAGCTAAATTACCTCGATCCGTTTGCATGCTTGCCAATACGACGTCAATTGCTGAGGCTTGGGCCAGGCTTGATTACAAGTTTGATTTGATGTATGCAAAACGAGCCTTCGTGCACTGGTAAATTAAATTTATTCTTGCATTTATTTAGAATTGAAGTCTAATAAAAATAATACTTTCAAGAAGAATCGTTCCAAAGCATTACTTTTTAAATCTTAGTTTAAAAATTGTTTGCCAGACCAGCCCTGCAACTCTTCTTCATTGACATTTATTTTTAAATTTTGTATTCAAAAAAGTTTCAGTGCAGAAGATCAATTGTACATTTGATTTCGACAAGTATTTGTAAAACTATACTTAACAAAATTTCAAAGACTTAAATTTCTGTAGTTTTAGAAAATTCTTTCAAGGTACCATATGTAAAGTTATGTATTCAATACCTGCAATACCTGCACTACTTTTCGCAACCAAGACTTTATTTATTTTTAAAAAACAAAAAGTTCAAAATATTCGTCGTATTTTGAAGTAAAATTCCTAATTTACAGGTATGTAGGCGAGGGTATGGAGGAAGGGGAATTCTCAGAGGCACGAGAAGATTTAGCGGCATTGGAAAAGGATTACGAAGAAGTAGGAGTTAATACATACGATGAATACTAATGAATCATTTCATTTAGTCGTTTCTAGTTATTGCTACCTTTGAGAGTCACGCGTTAACCCCTGTTTCAAATGAAAGATCCAATTTTTAGTGTGTATAAATTGCGACAAAGTGTGAAAATAAGTTGGATATGGTGTATAAATTAACTGAAGTTGTGTATAATTAATTGATTACCGATCTATGTTATATATTTGTACCAATCTAAAAATGGTTGAAATCACTTACCTTTATGAAAAAAGTGTGAACATCCATAACTATAAATGATTGCAAAACTGCTTTTCTTCTAGAAACAGACTGAATAATTATTCTTTTTTAATTATGATTTGCTCTTCGGAAGTGTTGTATCTTATAAAGCATATTTTTTATTAGTATTAAAATAACATAGACAAGAATGAAATAAATCGATTAAGCCTAAATATTTATTCAAGCATCCAAATAATTATGCAAAAGTGTCATCAAGCTATCTTTGAATGCAATTGCCATAAACGAGAAACAAACACTCGTGAAGAAAGGTCGTGTCTGTTCACAGTGCTTTGCAGTGATATCCAGTTCCTTCAGTTACTTTCTCTTGTCAGTTTTATTCTTGGAAAAAGACAAATTTACCTTGTCAAAGCAGATTGCTTAGTTCCTATCTGATTTGTAGATTTGGCATCCATTGAACATTTCGGATCGGAACGTAACTTAGCAGTCTCTCCATACACTCTAGTTCAGTCACTTTCTTTTAACACGTTTCTACTTTTATATACTCAGAGACACTGCTCCAGTATAAGATGTGATCAGATACATTAGATAAGCTTCCACACAATTTTAAAGAAATTAAAAAAAAACATATACTGGTGTATGTGTGTGTATCATCCGAGTAAAAAGTATAATGTGAAAGCAAACAGTTGGAATTGTTATAAAATACCTTTATTCATAAGCAATAATTACAAGAGCACAGTGTATCACAATAAAACACAATATTTATATTAACAAATAATTAAGTATAATAATTGAAGCTAAAAAACAGATTTATTAATAAGATTAGTACAACAATTCAACACAAGAATTTTTTATTTAATTTATGTATATTAGATTGGAGTGAAACAGGCTTGAAAATCTTAAAAGTCTTGAAAACTACTAGTAATAACAAATCTAATTATAATAGACCCACCTTACCAGAAGGGCATACTTTGCAGAATATTAGGGATAAATGTGGTGCTCTTATTTGGCCATAATTTTGGTAGGAGGGAGGGCACGAATGGAAAAATTTGATCTACGCTACAGGAGAGTGCATGCGTTCTGATTGGTTATCAAACATAAGTATGTACTTAGTGTGCATAGTAAATAAATACACGTGACATCACATATGCACACCCGTCATCTTATGTATGCATGCATACACATAATCTAACATGCGATTTACTTCCTTAGAAATCGCAAAAGATAACCTTCTCTTCTCATTATCATACACTCTCCATCTATATGTATACACATTATTATACACGTCATTATATGGCTAGAGTCTTCAGAAAAAACATATGAATATCAAAAAAGCTGGTCATACATATTCTAAGTTGCTACACTCGCAATATGTGATTTTTATGGAACATTATCTACTAATCAGGACATCCGTTTTTTGAAAGAATCCAAATTTGAAGAAGGATAGAAATGCAGAAGTGATGCATCTCACATTCTTACTATTGTTCTTTACTTGCTCATATTTCTCAATCAAGCATCATCGATTTGCTCTTGATTTTTCGTAATACTGTAATGAATGAATTTGAATTCTTCATACATATAGTAACATTCTATATGCAGGAAATTGTTGATCGCCATGATGCAGTTTGACTCAAATTGACCCATTATTTTTGCCGCTGTATTCAGAAATGTTACTTTAAACTACTGCAGAACTTGAAGAAAACTTTGCTAAATCATTATGCCGTTATTTCTCACGTACTTACTGCTGCTAATGCTGCTTATTCCTTCGCCGTTTCAAGCACTACTATTGTAAGCAATTTTTTTGAGCTGCCGACATTACAAGTAAAAAATATTCAGCAAATGAATATTAAATAAAGCAGGCTTGATAAATTTTGTTTTTGTTTCTAACATCAGAAAATATGGGGGAAAAGGATGGATGCATTTAAAGTAGACGTCATAATTTGCATAGTGAAGGTATTATATCCTAATTTCATAACGACATTTGGGAGGTGGGGCGAAAAATATTTGATCTACACCACACCACATAGTTCTAAATTGATAGCGAACTTGAAGATGCAGTCATACATTATTCTTACTACATCATCACTATCGAACATAATATTCATGTCAGCTAACTTTCTGGGAATCATTTCCCCACATCATCGCTTCTTCTCGAAAAGGTTCAGTTTGTTTAACGAATACTATGTATTTATTTCGCTATGTAACTTTAAAAATTTATGGCCATAAAATGACTGAGAATATATTTCTAGTTCAGTTTTATTTATTGTTGTTAAATAACTAAGTTTCGTTAAATAGCTCTATTATGGCTATAAAATGTTATGTTTTCCTTCAGATTTTAAATGTATGCAGTCAAAAAGAACTGCCAGAATGTAGTGAGCTGAAATTACAGCAGAGGAAGCGAGTGACAGCGAGTATGGCTTCGAAGTGTATGAAACGTAGCGACAGCAAGCACTCAGTGCTGCCATCGTGTGAAGCCGTGCTCTCTGTAAGCTTTGATTAATTTAGCATTACAAACATGAAGCACTCTATTCAAGAGATCTCTAAATTATATGATTACTGATTTTGATAATGCTATTACCCTTACATTTTAGCGCATGGAAACTGCGAGCATTCACTGTTGCTGGAAAAGTTGTTTAATTATAACTGGAGATTGCGACATCAGCAACAGAAGTGAAACGGTTGAAATGAGCGCAACTCAGCCGAATAGAAATGTGAAAAGAATTTTCAATTATCTGCCACAGCATAATAATATGGTTATTGTGGATGATTGCGAAAATATGAGGTAAGAAAGTGATTACAATATTTTGTGGCATTGTTTAAAAAAGATTTGTGCTGTCTTTCAGCAAATAATTTCTAAAGCAAAGAATTCATAACAAGAAATATTGATCGCTTTTTCAAGGTACAGTACACACACAGCCAAACTTCCAGAGAAGGAATTCCTTAACGATTTAAGAATTGTTATGATATTTTCGAACTGCATTTGGAAACCGAAGCAATTGATGACGAAATTTGGCTGGTGAAAGCTGGTGAAATATATAGTAAATGTGGAAGAAGAAAGAATTGTTCGCAAATGAAGCTAATATGAGATTATTCATTTAAGTGTTGAGAAAGCATTTATGCTTGAGTGGTGTAACGTTCAGATTACAAAACAACTAGGGACGAATAAATGCTTTCTCGTTTGAGTAATGTGCAAAAAGAAATTTGTGTTGTTTGAATTAGTTTGAGACAACATTATTTATGTTCAGTTTTCCGTGTAATATTTTTTAGCGCTTAAATTGTAAAAATCAGTAAAATATGTAAAAATGCTTTAGAAGCATGTTACATTTTAGCTGAAATATAGCGCTATTTTTAAAAAGTGCTTACATGTATTCTAACTTAAACTGAAAACAACATGCATAAAAAGCGGAATAAGTTTATGCATGTTGTTTTCAGTTTAAGTTCTTAGAATTGTGGTATGTGAAAAATGGGGTTTAGCATTAGTTTTGCTGCAAGAGAGATTATTGAAGAGGAGTAATTCATTGAGCTGCTTTATATTAGAAAACTGATTGCATTCTAGTGCGAATACGAATGAAATCTGTGAGCGAGCAGTGAATGCTTCATTCAGTGTATCAATTTAATGCTGAACCCTATTTTATAGAATATTCTTATGATAACTTCAAGATGTACGATTAGAGTAACATTGTAAAGCAAAAAGTTATCACTAAGATTTTTGTTCAAAAGTGACGACTTTTTAAGCAGGCTTGAAAATAGAAAAGAGTTTAAATAATTGTCTTGTGAAAGGAGATGTTTTGATATGAACGGAGTGATAACCGTTTTTTGGGGGAGGGAAGACCTAATGCTTTGCATAACAACGAGAAATGTAGATAAATAGGAAGAGACTTGGACCAAGAGATCATTCTCGATGAAATTTTCAACCGGATGAGCTTAGGACACGGAGCAGGGAGTTCTTCAAACTCACTGAAAGAGATTTCATTTGCCTACGTAAGGATTCACAGAATTACAACATTAATTTCCATGATATGAAATTATCCTATACATCTTACTAAATTGTGTCTTCTTCAGGCCAGCGGTCGATGTGGATTATCTTCAATTCCGTCCAAAAACGATAGTGAAAGCATAACAACGAGGAATAAGGATAAATAGGAAAACAATAGAATATTGTGTTAGGAACAATGAAACCACTAACAGTAATTGGTAACAGAACAGACAAAAAATAACGTGGAGTTTTCTAGATTACCGTAGGCAAAGTAAGTGACATTCTTTGCCATGCGAAAATTGTCGTGAAACGATTTAGAAAAGAAAGTGTATGTAGTGACAGAAATACTAAATTTTCTAACACAAGAATGTTAGTACATCTATTCCTGACTAGTGTAATAGAAACTAAATGAGAAATACCGATATTATCCATACGATGTTTTCAGAGACATTAAGTCTTTAACCACTTAATTCACGCACTACTTCAAATTTTGACCACACTTCTCTTTTATCTATTTACACATTTTGCATTAAACAACATTAATTTGAGGTTCCCACTTGTAGATGAAGAAAGAATATAATTAAAAAACGACTTCCCATTCCGCGCGAGTGGAGAATGAGGATTCTATTGTTTTAGATGAGGCATGAAGAACGAAAAGTGAAACATCCCTACGGTCTGCATTGAAAGCATCGTATGGAAGGGAAGAAGTTTGAGAGACGCAGTTTCTGATAACAATTTTTCGTAGTTGTAAATGTATTTCGATCATGTGAATTACGTCTACCGATAAAATATTTCCTCTCGCGTACTACAACATATGGTAACTGCGCAGCTGGTTACCAAATTTAAACGGAACTAGGTTGTAATTGTCATTCCTCGACAAGTTTAAAAATTAAAAAGTAGGGTGCGGCAACGCGAATGCGAATGCGTGAGTGTGTAGAAGTGTGAAGTGAAAATGAGTGAATGCGACGATCTGTAAACGTGTGATGTGGATGTGTGAATGTGTGAATGTGTGAATGTGTGAATGTGTGAATGTGTGAATGTGGGAATGTGGGAATGTGCGGATGTGGGAATGTGCGGATGTGTGAATATGTGAATATGTGTGGATGTGTGGATGTGTGGATGTGTGGATGTGTGGATGTGTGAGTGTGTGAATATGTAGATGTGTGAATGTGTGAATGTGCGGATATATGTGGATATATATGGATGATGTGGGGATATATATGAATGTGTGAATGTGTGAATGTATGGAATATGTATGGATGTGTGGACGTGTGGGTATGTGGGGATGTGTGGACATGTGTGTGTGTGGCGTGTGAATGTGTGGGTATGTGAATGTGTGGATGTGTGAGTGTGG